TCTAATTTCTCAGAAGTATTTCACAAACTCTGTATCTATATCTGTATTTCACAAACTCTATATCACAAAGGCTGCAAAGCTGATGGAAGTCAACCTGAAGAACGAAGGCCTCAATCTGATCATCAGCTACACGGATGTGAGCATCCAGGATGCAAAAGCAGGTCAAAATGGCAAAGTGTGCAAAACTATAATTGGAAGATCCCTAATAATCACCAAGGTGAGCGTACCTGAAGATAACATTTAGTCAATAGGTAAACACCATTCATATTGTTTACATATAAGTGCCTTGAAAAGTTCTATTATGCTCACCAAGGCTGCAGTTATTGTCAGGATCCTGCCCTGACTGTCTTGTCTTTGTTCAATGTTTCTTTGTTTGTTTTGTGTTTAAGCACATGGTTCTGTCTCTGTTTCTGTCGGCCATGTGCTCTTGTCCCACCTCCTTGTTTCCCCTGGTCACGCCCCCTTGTTTAGCCCTTGTCTGCTTGATTGTTTTCACCTGATCCTCGTGTGTGCTGCTCCATATATTGGGTTCCTTTTCCTTGTGCCTCTGCTGGTTTGTTTTGGTGTTTACCTGTTTCTTGGTCCAGAATTTATCCTTTTGATCTTGCTCCAGTTATTTTTTTGATCTCTTATCTAGTTATTTTACATCTCTTCTCTAGTTCTTGTTTTTTTTATTTTGTGCATTCTTATCTAGTTTTGTTTCTCTTTTTGATTTAGATTTTCATTTATTCTTGTTTTTGCGGTTTCAATTCCTTTTTTGAATCTTGGCTTTTTGTTTTTACTGTTTGATTATTTCTTTGGATAGTTTTGGTTATTTATTACTTTTGATTTGTTCACCTTGTTTTCAATTGTCCATCTTGTTGTGTCGTTGTGTTGTGTTGTCTTGAGTCTCATCTTGTTTGTTTTTGTTTTGTCCTGTCTTGCCCTAACCCAGATTCCCTGGCCATTGACCCCCACTGCCTGGAAGCAGCTCTCCTCTCTCACATGTCAAGTCTCTGGTTCTGTGAGTCCCTACCTAGCGGCTAAACTGGTGCGACATTTGAGTTTCACTTCAAGCTACGGGTTCCCTGTGTTCCTGCCTGGTCCTTCCTCTGGAGCTGCCTCCTCTGTGCTCGAGTCCGTGGCATCTCGGACTGTCTCAGTGGTCATCCCTCCTGCTCGTATTGTGTCGTCTGCCCTGCCCCTCTGTTTGGACTGTTTCACTCCTCATTCTCCCCTGCTGTTCTAGTCTACGTCTTGTTAATAAAATGCCATTGTCTGCTCATTTGTGTTTGGGTCCCATTTCTTGCAGATCCCTGACAGAACGAACGAGCCAACTCAGGACCCAGCAATGAGCATCCGTATTCCTCCCAGTACCGCCAACGGGAGACTGGCACTGGCAGTGGCATCGCTCCGCCAGCAGGGTCGGGAGGTGAGTTCATTTGCCCAGTTTTTCTGGACCATGGCAAGGGCTTGGAGTACCTGGACTCAACTCTAAAAGAGGCTTTTAATCTCTGCTTGGATGACCCCCTACCACAATGGGAAATGGAGCAACTAAGAGGCCTAGATTATTGGACCTTTCCAAGTATTTGCACCATCGCAAGGACTGGCAGATCCTTACACCGCCAGAGTCAGCCTGCAGAGACCATGTCACCCTCCCTCTCATGTAGAGTCAAATTCAAGACCCTCTTCAGTCTCCTACGTTAAAGCGTAGACTGAGGAGGAAGAGAGCGGCTAAGACTGCTCTCTGCTTCCGAGTCCACTGAGTTAACTGCAGTCAGTGTAGAAGCGATCACTGCAGAGGATCCTTGGTCTGTTCCAATTATCCCTAAGTCTGTCCAGTCTTCTCCAGTCATCCCAGAGCCAGATTGCAGGGACCAACCTGCTCTCTTACCCTCGCTGAGTCAAGTCCCAGATCATCTTCTGATTCCAAGGAAGCGTAGGTCAAGAAGGAAGAGAGCAGCCCAGAATGCTGCATCTGTCTCTGAGTCGGTCGAGTCCGCTCCAGTTATTCCAGAGCCGATCCAGCCTGCCCCAGTCATTCCAGAGCCAGTCAAGACCGGGCCTTTCATCCCAGAGGTGGCCAAGTCAGCAGCGATAACTTTTAAGGTGGTTAGGTTAAATACAGTAAATTCAGAGGCAGCCACGGGGGCTGCTGCTGTCATCCCAGAAGCAGCCGATCACACACTGCTGTGCCCCCAGAAGCCGAAGCGAAGGAGGGCCTGTGTTGTGCAGTTCGACATTCCCTCCCAGGAGGTCCTAAGTCCTATGGTCCAGGAGGGCCTAAGCCACGAGACCCCAAGTCCAGGGGACCAGGATAACTCAAGTCAGGATGCCCTACCTCCAGCGGTCTTGGAGGACCAGAGTCAGAATTTCCCTAGTCCTGTTATCCAGGTGAACCTAAGTCAGGTGGTCCAATATCCAGTAGTCCCAGAAGCATGTAACCTGGTGGAACCCCACCCTAAGCTGCCCACTTCACCAGTTGTCTCTGCCTTAGTAAAGGAATCTGTGACGGTCCATGTAACTTCACCTGAACCACCGGTTAATCCTGTCATGCCCAAGAAGGGAAATCATACAAGTCATGTCATGTACCCAAAGCTCGCACCCGAGAGAGCATCTCCAGAGCTCGCTTCAGTCCAGTAGCCTCCAGAGTCTGTGCCAGTCCAGGAGCCTCCAGAGTCAGCTCCGGTCCAGTAGCCTCCAGAGTCCGTCAGTGCAGCCCAGGCGGGCACGTCAGAGTCAAGCCCAATGTCTCCCTATTACCTAGCCCTTTTGGATCCCCTAAGCCAGAACCTCCCTGGTCAACCTCAAACTATCCCCCGGAATTATTTTCCTCCCTGCCA